TATAAGGATCCAGTGTTATATGGGGACCGGTGACATTATTCTTTGATCAATAAATATTGATTAAATATATTTTCTGTTTAACATACAACCTCAGTCAAAATGTCAGGATCATGTAGTGTAAAATAAAACCTCAGTCAAAATGTCAAGATCATATTTATTTATAACATACAACCTCAGTCAAAATGTCAGGATAATATATCGCTGTAACATACAACCTCAGTCAGTCAAAATGTCAGGATAAAATATCTCTGTAACATACAACCTTTTTCCTTCAAATGCACGTTGTGCACAGAGTCAATTCATTTATAAAGCTGATGTCAATAAGTCTTGTTTATTCTGTTTATACTCGTGATCAGGGCATTTGGGATGCTGTTACTCATGGTTTACAAGGTTAATACTTATTGTGTACCTCTTACTGTAGGCTTGTTTAGTAGTATACACTCGCAGATCTAATCAGCCGTCTAACCTGCTGTTTGCTTCATAGGTTCAGTGGCGGTTTCCTCCCTTCATTTCCACGTTATTCACCGAGTCAATTTTTACAGAGTATATCTACCTGCTGTCTTCATCACAGGTTTCTTTGAGCTAATATGGTTGGTAGCTAGCCCGGCTTTCGTTCTTGAGTATATTATCACAAGTTCAGTGCCAGGTTGTTTAAAGCTACTAGCTTATTGGGTATAAAAAGTACCATACCGGATGTTTTTATGTTCAGTGTCAGTGTCATCAGTTCATTCTGTTAAACCTGATGTACGTGGCATTACTTGGGTCTATTTTACATTCCCATTCAGTACACTCTACCTGATAGACCTGCTGCTCAACCCACAGGTCCAGAAAGCACATTCATGCATCCATATCCCAGATCAGATCCAAGTTACAAGTTTTAATTACATTTTCTTAATCATTTTTAGTTTTCCTTAAGTAAGACTTGTCTTGCATATTACAGCGATGTTTTATCACGTATACAGTTTTCACCAACAAAGCTTTGTATATTTTTAGGTCACCTGAGCTTTGCTCAAGTGACCTATTCCAATCACTTTCCGTCCGTCGTCGTCCGTCGTCCGTCGTGCGTAAACTTTTACATAATTAACTTCTTCTCAAGAACCAGTGGATGGAATTTTTTCAAACTTGGTCAGATCAACCTTTGTAGATGAGGATACCAAATTGTAAAATTGGGATCCCTACCCCAACCCTAGGGGCCAGGGCGGGTGATGATATTTGGCGAGAGGCAAACTGGGATGAAGGGCTACCAAGTTTGTTCAAATAAATGACTTTCATCTATTTTCAAGGTCACAGAGGTCAAATATGTAAAAAAACTTTAAACAACTTCTTCTCAATAACCAAAAGGCACAGGGTGATGATATTTGGCCAGTAGCATGCTGGGATGAAGGGCTACCAAGTTTGTTCAAATAAATGACTTTCATCTATTTTCAAGGTCACAGAGGTCAAATATGTAAAAAAACTTTAAACAACTTCTTCTCAATAACCAAAAGGCACAGGGTGATGATATTTGGCCAGTAGCATGCTGGGATGAAGGGCTACCAAGTTTGTTCAAATAAATGACTTTCATCTATTTTCAAGGTCACAGAGGTCAAATATGTAAAAAAACTTTAAACAACTTCTTCTCAATAACCAAAAGGCACAGGGTGATGATATTTGGCCAGTAGCATGCTGGGATGAAGGGCTACCAAGTTTGTTCAAATAAATGACTTTCATCTATTTTCAAGGTCACAGAGGTCAAATATGTAAAAAAACTTTAAACAACTTCTTCTCAATAACCAAAAGGCACAGGGTGATGATATTTGGCCAGTAGCATGCTGGGATGAAGGGCTACCAAGTTTGTTCAAATAAATGACTTTCATCTATTTTCAAGGTCACAGAGGTCAAATATGTAAAAAAACTTTAAACAACTTCTTCTCAATAACCAAACTGCCCAGGGAGATGATATTTTGTCAGTAGCATGCTAGGGTGAAGGGCTACCAAGTTTGTTCAAATGAATGACCTTCAATTATATTCAAGGTCACAGGGGTCAATTGTCTTAAAAAAACCTTTAAATAACTTCTTCTGAATTACCAAAATGCCCAGGGTGATGATATTTGACCAGTAGCTAGCTGACAGGAAGTGCTACAAAGTTTGTTCAAATGAATGACCTTCACCCATATTCAAGGTCACAGGGGTCAAATATGTTAAAAACTTTAAACAACTTCTTCTGAATAACCAAAATGCCCAGGGTGATGATATTTAGTCAGTAGCATACTAGGATCAAGTCATTTAGTCATAATGATTCCGTGCCGTGGATATCAAGACCGAATGTTGCGTTTTGGTTGGTTTATTTATTGGTCCTATAATATAATTAACAGCCAAGGTCATTTAAGAATGTGCCTCCATGTTTGTTGTGTATGCGTGCATTTGATAGGTTTTGTTCGTGTTTTTGCCTCCTTGTGATAACGCAGATCTGATGCCAACTTTTTAGTGCTATCTCACTAAAATACTATGCTGAAGGCCCCTTGCACAGCATTCAGCCAGACCACATTATACTGACAGAGTGGGGACCAGTTGTTGCCATTACCCTAAATGCTGAACGTTAAGCAGGGAATAACAACTATCATTTTTAAAGACTTAGGTATGTCCCTGCCCATTGACTTCCACACTAAGGCGAACGTTCAACATTAAAACTAAAGGTGAGGTATTGCTAAGCAAGTAGTTAGGAAATAAAAAGCAATTGGAGGTACGTTTAGTAAGAAATATAAAGATCCCACATTTTTCAACGGCTGCAGCAGATTTATTTTGTTCTTTTTTGTCTACAAGTACAAAAGTAAATTCCCAATTCTACAAGGATTCCCGCATTAGTCGCCTCTAACGATGCATGCGGTGGGTAACAGCAGGCATATTTTGTTCTCGATTCCCGACCTGCAGTGGCACAAGACCGAGTGCCAAATTAAAAGGACACAGGGCTTTCGTATGCTAAATAGAGACAAGACATTTTGATTAGTTAACTATTTCGTGACTTATAACCTATCATTTCCAAAAAATAGCTTCAGACACTCATTAACTCTGACTTTTCACACATACGTAGCAATCATAGGGAGTGCAAATTACTCAGCATCCAAAAAATGTGGGCTGCTTAAAGAACCGTAAGACTCGTGTTTCTTAAGCTAGTGTAAACTCGCATAACTGTCTTGTACGAAACGATATGTACCCAATGACCTGACGTGAATGCACAACATATTTGCTGGATGTAACGCATTCAATGTTGCACTGTATTTCATGAAATACTCGTACATGCAGCATATAACAGTCAGGCGTCATGTGTCAGTGAGATTCAATGTCAAAAATAGATAGTTTCCAATAGACTGTCTAATCCCCATAGCTCGTCCACGTTGGGTCGGCGGCTACCCGCGACATTGCCTATATGAGGTCACCGAGGGGCTTACATCCCTTTCGCCTGAGCGACGCCTGTCGCCCGCCCAAGGTTTCGACTACTTTATCTGGTAACTTCACCAGAATGTCACGTTTTCTGTAGTATATATTCCAACCCATCGACTTGTTTGCCCTCTAAAACTAAAAGCTGTCTCTTTGATGTTTTTTGCAAATATACATGGTATTGTTTATGAGGCGTACGTAGATACCAATCCGTATTACACAATGACGTATACATATAGTGCAATCTGTTTTGTGTTGAACGTTTTTTTACATTTTCATATTTGGGAGAAGAGAAGATTTTAATCAATTGATTAAATAAACTTTGCTGAAAGATTCATTAGTTTTGGAAAGATCATTTTTAAGACTTTGCAACGGATCTCGGCATTAAGCCGTTGACAGACGTGTTAGTGAGTGCAAGGAACAATAAATCTTAGTAGAGATTTGGCTTACCATTAATCTGTCAGATAGCGGAACGATTTCGACTTTTCAAGCATGAATTTTCCCTTTGTTGACAGTAACATCCTCCAAATCCCAACAAGGGGGATATAAGCAACATTTGATTTGGTGTTCAAGAGCTTGATCCAAATATCATAATTTCCGAGATAGATATCGACTGTTGGCAAACAAACTAGCAATAAAGGGTTTCAAATGTTACTTGCTGATAACGACTGCACAAGTTTTATGGTCGCAATCATGATCCCATAGAGAAATATCCAGTCGGTTAGTGTGATCGTCCTTTGCTCATAATTTGTCCTTCTTTACTTGAGTTTGTCGTACAGTTTTGCTGACACTTTGGTATTCTCTTTTTGTTTTTTGTCCTTACTTCAACTCTCGATCTCCGACACCAACTTGCCTGACTGATAACTACCACCAACTCTAATCGCTACATCTCCCACCACCACACATAGAAAGATACAGAATCCATATTTAAATTAAGGGATTTGCATTCTTAAGTTTAAGCCCAGTAATATGTGTTTATTGTACCTGTCTGGTCGGGAAACAAAAAACATATATTAACAAATGTCACCTGCCTAGAGCTGATTATCTTTCACAACCACTATAGGTTTCCTAACTCACGAGTAGTTGAGTAAAACAGTTGGAAGTTTATGATTACCCCCCCCCCCCCCCTCAGTGGGTCGTACCCTTGACGTCATTGCATTGACCAATTTTTCAATTATGAATCCATTATACTTTTCAACGTCATATTCCGTTCTAACGTCATGACGTCATGATTAATGACAATTTCTTCTCTCATTGGAAGCAGACATATTGTATTTCAAGGGAGATATTTGGTTTTCAAGGTCAAATATGAACGTTATAGGAGAAAACAGTTCCCTAAACTCGTGATTGCTGGTTATCACATTTACCTCACTTTAATTTTTTTTCAAATTGTAAAAGATACATTTTGAAAAAAGTACTATCTCGAATTAAACATATGAATCAACCATCACTCATTTGCAACTTCTACATAACTAACTATACAATAAAAATAACCCTGCTAAAAATGAAAAGCTTTCCGAAGACATGTTGAACCCAAAGAATATAGGAAATGTTTTAATTATACTTCAAATGTGAATTTTCAGATTTGCCTACTGTCAAAATATCTGAACGAAACTATACTGCCGTATTAGGAGAACAAGTGAAGCTGGAGTGTACTATATCTGCAACTCCGTGGATTACAACAGTTTCCTGGCAACGTATTTCACCTGAGGAACAACCCGTAGCACTGGATATTGACGAGATAAAATATACAGGATCAAAACCGAATGACCCACACTTATCAATCAACGACATCAAGAAAAATGACGAAGGCAACTATGTATGTACCGTCTCAAACTTGTGTGGGAAACGGCAGAGTGCACCTACTAAGCTGAAAGTAAAAGGAGGTAAAAAGTTAAATTTGATATTTCATCTTTGTCACGACAAATGAGTATTAAAGTGAGAAATATTGCAACTATTTTTCCCGAATGATTTCCCAAATTGTCTCTGTTATTCTCATACACAAAGTACTTATAAAGTAGAACCAGAAAATAGAAACAGCTTTCTACTATCAATATAAGTTCCGAAACAAAAGAAATAATGTTACTGACGCGTTGTTTTGTGTCATGATAAATGTATTAATGTTATATGTATTGGTTTAAAATTAATCTTAGGTCCTCCAATGCTGAACATGAAGGCAAAATTACTCTATAAAACTGAAGGAGAACTTGTTTTGTTGAAATGCACTGTCAATGCGGAACCACCAGCATCCGATATCACTTGGACAAAAGAAGGATGTGAACGTAAAATTGCAATTGACAATAGCAAATACTTCGGCGGTTCACTTAAAACTCCCTCGCTGTTTATAGATGAAACGGAAAGTCATGACGAAGGCATATATATATGTGAAGCAGAAAACATTGCAGGACCAGGAAGTAATTTCGTGCATTTAACAATCAATAGTAAAACTGCAAAAAGTAAGTAAGTTATTAGTTATTCCAAATGCTGATAAGGTGGTCATAACACAATGCCTTGATATTGTTTTTTTTCCGCAATGAAGCGGGCAAATATAAAATACATATAAACCTAATAATGAGTAACAGGCGAAGATAATAACAGACAACTCTCTAAATAGCATGACAAATACATTAAATATATCTTATACAAGCTAGAATCCAGTTAGCATTATAAATATGCAAGACAGGATCAGTCGCGCTATTATCCTGCTTTATATCATATCGTAAGGTCTCGGCTACCAACAGTCACCTTTCTATACCAATCTAACTGAGAAAACAAAAGAGAAACATTAGAAGGTGAGCTCAGAATACAGCACAAATCATCATGTTCAGCTATACCTGACCCTATAAACATAATCGAATATAGAAACCTTACAGGTGTATCAGGTGGTGACGAAAACTATAACAATATTTTGCCACAGATTGAAGTCCTCTGTTGCCGACAATCTGTTATTTCTGATGTTTTTACCTGCGTACTGCAGGTCCTTCCTCTTGATTAATGTTAATTTCATTGTGGTATAAAATGTTTTTTCTAAAATGCAATACAGTTTGTATTTGATAAAATGTGTATATAAAGGGTTTATTAAATCGATGTTTTCAGTTACTGGCATAGAAACTGTAAACCAAGACACTCCTGAAGCACTACAGGAAAAAATTGTAACCCGTCATGCAGAGATGGTGATTTCGTTAGCTGATTATATCTATTCAACTGCTGATGATTGGCAAAAATTCAAAGTGCTTTTATCTGCCTATCTAAAGCCGGTAGATATTGGACAGGATAACCTCTACCATTACGTACAAAAACTCATAGATATGAAAAACATTGACTACGGCCGATATGACAAATTTTATGAAGTTGTTAACAAAACACATCCACGGATCTCTCGCATTATTGTAAAGGCGGAATCAGATATTGAAATAATGAAGAATGGAAGTAAGTATAATCTATTTTATTTATATATCTAAGGATTTTCAATTAAACTTATAACAAATAGAATATCGTCTGTCTTTGATAGAGTTATTGTTATAACCCCATATCCATATTATATTTAATTAACGTTGTGCAATGTAAAGGTTTCTTTAAATCTGTTTCAGGACGGCCAAATGAAACGGATTACAAAGTCAAAATCAAGAGTGACGGTGATTTCAACTCAAAACTACCAGAACAGTGTTCTGCTCAAATCACAAAGCAGTTACCGGAAGTAAAACATAGAATAAACGCAACTGGTGAATCAGGTAATATAAGCATCATGATTCTTGAAAACAAATTGACATATGTAACATGCTCTTATCGTATCCATTGAATACAAAAAAAAAATCATAGTATGTACGATGTCATAGTTAACACAGTATACATGTTTTAAAAAAGAGTCTTTTAGATCTTTTTGTACTTAAATGCACTCAGACATCTGTGTTCTGTTTGTTACATGCTTTATTAGGCAAGCATCTGATGATGCAATATTAATCATAATCAATACAACTTGACATGAGAACTTGAAGTGGCTCAAATAAGCTTACCATTTGCACGATGGTTAAATTATTGGGGCTTTATTATCACATTGCCAAATTAAAGGTACGAATCTGCTACAATGGACTTTCATGTGTTCCTTTTATAATATGCTAGATATATACTTAACATAATCTGTTTGACATTTTCAAAATTTTGTTTATTTTTACAATGAAGTTGTGTAATGTTTCTAATAAATATGGTTGTTCTGACAGTTGCCATTTGTATTGAGTTTAATTGAAAACAATTGTATGTTTGGTCGTTATTAAAAAAGGGCCCGGGGGGCCGTGTGATTTATCGAGTTGCCGGGTGAACGTACAACGCCCATGACACATTCGTATCATTAGAACGTTTATTTGCAATCAAAGTAAACATTTATTTAATTGCGATCTTTAAATATGTCTTACCAAGGATTGAAGTTTTTGGCTACTGTACAATTTTTTGGGGGATTGTTGGATTATAAAGCATTGATTTACTGCGAGTGTAAAATAATAAAATGGAGGTCGGACTACGGAACCGCAGAGTGTAAACCCATTAGTAGTCAGATTATTTACATCCAGCACTATAATCAGATGAAAAGCAAATTAATGATCATGGTTTAATACATTACACACTTCAGCCTTATTTTTAATGATATTAATAATTCTAAAAAAACAACATCGCCAATCAATTATATAAAATTTATTTTGATTAGTCTGACTAAATCTTATAAAAAGTATCATTAAACAGGTATGCGCAAATTATGTGATGTTGTACTTGCACTGTGTTATGGTGATCGTCAATCTTTGTTTTACATGTTGTGATATGTGATTGTGCATGTCTCTGTCTTGATGAAGGGTCGATTGCCTCGAAACAGGGGTAAAAGTTCTTCTATAGCAAGTGCTCTGATTATACCTCGAAAATGTGACAAGTTCCTTTATCTGCACTGTCGCTATAACCTCTTTTCTTATACATTTTAATAAATACACATACATATAATTTTCATGTGTTCTGCAGATACTGTATTATTCAATTAATTTATACTCTACACTTCAGGATCAATTGTTCTAAAGTTTACAATCAGCGAGGCGAAGACACCATTCGAATTGTCCGCATTGTACCTGGCAGTTATGCTTAGGGACAAACTACACAACAAACAGATTGTACTGAAGGATGAGTCCGACGTACCTCTAGTATTGAAGACTTCACCGACAGTAATGATACCAACGGAGAATCAAAAAGGTTTGTTGATTTGTTTGATGGCAGTAATTTAGTCTAAATGATAGTGTTTCATACCTCGAGTTGACAAGAAGTAGATACGGCCATATTTAATCAAAATTAAAACAAAGAACAGAAAAACATTAAATCTCTTACTGTTGGAAAATGATGTTTGTTTTGTTTAGCGTAAGTGAAATCAAAATAAAATATTTCGTTTTTATAGAGATCATCCGCCAAATAAAAATCAAAGTGAAGTTTCATGTTTATCATATGTTACACGTTATAATCTAGAAATGCATAACATCTGAAAATGTGTTAATGTTTCACAGATTTACAGATCTATTTCGAATATTACATTTTCACATGTATGTTTAACCCTTTCACCACTATGAAACTTTAGTAGACTCTACCATGCATTGATCTGGATGAGTCCATTATGGTCTACAGTGGTGAAAGGGTTAACCATGCGTTCATCCGACTTGTTGCTCACATTGTTTTAATACAACTGGATGATAAACATTTAAGAAATTAACCTAAATCGGTCAGCTAATAAGCAATAGTTAATAATTTATTTAGCTCACCTGGCACGAAGTGCCAAGTGAGCTTATGCCGTGGTGCGGCGTCCGTCGTCTGTCCGTCCGTCCGGCCGGCCGGCCGGCGTCAAGCGTCAATATTTTACTTTAAACGACTTCTTCTTAATAACAAAAAGGCCTAGGGTGATGATATTTGGCCAGAAGCAAACTGGGATGAAGGGCTACCATGTTTGTTCAAATAAATGACCTTCATCTATTTTCAAGGTCACAGGGGTCAAATATGTTAAAAACTTTAAACAACTTCTTCTCAATAACCAAACTGCCCAGGGATATGATATTTGGTCAGTAGCATGCTAGGATAAAGGGCTACCAGGTTTGTTCAAATAAATGACCTTCACCCATATTCAAGGTCACATGGGTCAATTGTCTTAAAAAACCTTTAAATAACTTCATCTGAATAACCAAAATGCTCAGGGTGATGATATTGGGCCAGTAGCATGCCGAGATGAAGGGCTACAAATTTTGTTCAAATAAATGACCTTCACCCATACTCAAGGTCACAGGGGTCAATTGTCTTAAAAAACTTTAAACAACTTCTTCTGAATTACCAAAAATGCCCAGGGTGATGATATTTAGTCAGTAGCATACTAGGATCAAGGGCTACCAAGTTTGTTTAAATGTATGACCTTGAATCATATTCTAGGTCACAAGGAGCAAATATTTTCAAAATATAAAAAAAAAAAAAAAAACTTGTTCTGAATAATTAAAGAGCTCAGGATGTTGATATTTAGTCAGTAGGATGCTGGGATCAAGGACTACTATGTTTGTATAAGTGAATGACTGACTTATATTCAAGGTCACAGGGGTCAAATATGTTTAAACCTTTTAAATCCCAGGATGTTGATACTTTGCAAGTCGCATCCTAAGATGAAAGGCTATAAAATTTGTTCAACATAATGACTTTGTTCGACTTTCAATCACAGGGGTGAAATGTTTAAAAAAAAATAACAGTTTTTTTTTAATGAACTTTAATCATAAATACTGATATTTTATTTTGCCTGTAGCTTTATTTTAGATCACTTTTAAGGTTACAAGTGTGGGATTTATACCAGGTGAGCGATGCAGGCCCATTGGCCTCTTTACAATATCCTAACGGCTACATCTTTTTCCTTTAAATTGACTATTGATTGCTCGCAGTAGTTTGGCTTTTTGAATATAATTTGCCAGCACCAGTTTATGGCAGATGAGCGATAAAGCCCTATGAGCCTCACCTTTTCATTATAGATACTCCAACAATTCGTTTAAGTAGAGGACACTACCGATTTACTGAAGGAAACGTGGCCATTTTGAAATGTGTTGTGGTCGCCACAGCGGACACCGAATCTATCCAGTGGTTCAGAGTAAAGGATGGAGAATCTCACGCTATTATAATTGACAACGAAAAGTATTTTGGTGGGTCACTGAAATCTCCATCACTTGCTATCGCTGATGTAAAGAAATCTGACAGAGGAATATATTTCTGTAGGACAAGGAATAGAGCAGGTGAAGTGGAAAGTGAGATTGCGTTTGTCGAAATCAATTGCATTGGTGAGTTGAAATTTGCCTATTCCTTCCTAAATATATATGCAACAGTGATATGATAACATGTGAAAAAAATATACGATATCTGTGTTGGATTCATCAAGGAACATTATGTTATATTTGATCTTCAGATCTATTGTTTGTCAGTAAACTAAATATGACCATTGAAGTAAGTCCATCAGTGTAAATAATATGATGTCAAATTTGCCAAGCAATCCGCTCCTTTATCCTTTGTGGTCTTTGGCTTACGCTAGCCAAGGGGCTCAATATTTTTTAAATATTAGTTATATCCTATTATATCTCTTACCCGGTTTGAATTTCTACCTTGGCCCGTATACCAATTATAGTGTTTCGTTTCCTACAAACAGGCGTTTGTCAAGATCCAGTGTTATATGGGAATATACCGTTATTCTTTGACCAATAAATATTGATAAAATATATTTTCTCTTTAACATAATGTTACCGGGGTTCACAAAACAACCAGGATCCAGGTATTCTTTTTATATATTTATTCCTCATGTAAAGAACCCTGTTGACCAAACAAATACAACATATAAATCTTACATGCAACAGAACATACTTCACATACTTGCATACATAACATAGTAAAAGGGAAATAACTCTAGTGACAAATGCTATAATATAACATATACCTATTTTACCCTATCAACTGTACATATACAATGATACTTATTAATCTACTAATTTCTAAATCTGTAACTTGAAAATATATGTTCAATTATCTTTTCCAAAAGGTTATAATTCATTCTTGAAACAATTACATAAATATCATTACTATAAAACCTATACTTTTACTATTGCAAATTACTCATACACACTGTTAAAATTCCAGATACATTCTATAGATAAAAACATAGTAATATACACATTAAAACATTCTAGACCTATTGAACACTCACCCCACGGCTATGGTGTGGAGGTTTCCCTCAATTCCTCTCTATTAAGTCGGTTTGATATTCAACCAGGAGCTATACACTAAAATAATATAAATATCCCTAATAAATAATTTGATCCTTATGAATTTGATACCGATTCATAGAAAGCTGAATTAACAAAGACATATCTTTACATACTCAATTTCGCTTTGACCTTGAAATTGTTCAATGACAAAATGTCAATTACTTTTAGATAGAAAAAGATACAATTACATAACCACAATTGAATTACAAAGAAATGGTATATTCCCTACATTTCCTGTTATACTGGATGAACAAAAAGCTATTTAACAAATAGAGTAAAAACTTACCAGCTAAAGACTTGACAAGTTTTCCCCAAATTCAACATACAAAATATATGGTTCACCCCAGCTGGTCAGGAGCAGAGTGCCCAAGTTGGCCAAAGCCTCTACACAGTTAAACCGAGGCATCCGTCCTGACCAATCGTATGGCCCGTCCTTAGTCAGGTGTCATAACAACTTACTCACTCACTCACATGCACACACAGGTAAGTACATGTCACATACACAGGCAGATTCATTAAAGGTCCTTACACCATCTTTCACACCAGACAACATATGCAAATACAAAACATGTATAACAAAACCTAATACCTACAATATGTATATTAGTAATAATTAATTACAATACAAAATATATGCCATATTACAATAACATACAACCTCCGTCAAAATATCATTATCATATATCTCTGTAATTTACAACCTCAGTCAAAATGTCAGGATAATATTTCGCTGTAACATACAACCTCAGTCAAAATGTCAGGATAAAATATCTCTGTAACATACAACCTCAGTCAGTCAAAATGTCAGGATAAAATATCTCTGTAACATACAACCTTTTTCCTTCAAATGCACGTTGTGCACAGAGTCAATTCATTTATAAAGCTGATGTCAATAAGTCTTGTTTATTCTGTTTATACTCGTGATCAGGGCATTTGGGATGCTGTTACTCATGGTTTACAAGGTTAATACTTATTGTGTACCTCTTACTGTAGGCTTGTTTAGTAGTATACACTCGCAGATCTAATCAGCCGTCTAACCTGCTGTTTGCTTCATAGGTTCAGTGGCGGTTTCCTCCCTTCATTTCCACGTTATTCACCGAGTCAATTTTTACAGAGTATATCTACCTGCTGTCTTCATCACAGGTTTCTTTGAGCTAATATGGTTGGTAGCTAGCCCGACTTTCGTTCTTGAGTATATTATCACAAGTTCAGTGCCAGGTTGTTAAAAGCCACTAGCTCTACACACCATAATGGATGTTTTTATGTTCAGTGTCGGTGTCATCAGATCATTCTGTCAAACCTGCGGTAGCATCACTTGGGTCTATTTTACATTCCCATTCAGTAGACTCTACCTGATAGACCTGAAGTGGTTATAGTATTGGGAAGTAGTGAGTACAGTATTGCTAAGTAGTGTATACATTATTGTGTGGTAGTGCGTACAGTATTGTGTAGTAATGGTTACAGCATTGTGTAGTAGTGGTTACAGTATTGTGTAGTAGTGAGTACAGCATTGTGTTGTAATGGGTACAGTATTGTGTAGTAGGGAGTACAGTATTGTTTAGTAGTTGGTACAGTATTGGTAGTACTAGTGAGAACAGTATTGTGTAGTAGTGGGGACAGTATTTGTAGTACTAGTGGGTACAGGATTGGTAGTACTAGTGAGAACAGTATTGTGTAGTAGAGGGGACAGTATCATGTAGTAGGGGGTACCGTACTGTGTAGAAATGGTTTCAGTATTGGGTAGTAGTTTGTACATTATTGCGTTGTGGCTGGTATAGTATTGTGTAGTAGGGAGTACAGTATTGTTTAGTAGGGAGTGCAGTATTGTTTAGTAGTTGGTACAGTATTGTGTAGTATTGAGTAGAATAGTGTGTAGTAGTGGGAACAGTAGTGTGGAGTAGTTGGTACAGTATTGTGTAGGAATGGGTACAGTATTGGTAGGACTAGTGAGTACAGTATTGCTAAGTAGTGTATACATTATTGTGTGGTAGTGCGTACAGTATTGTGGAGTAATGGTTACAGCATTGTGTAGTAGTGGTTACAGTATTGTGTAGTAGAGGGGACAGTATCATGTAGTAGTGGGTACCGTACTGTGTAGAAATGGTTTCAGTAGTGGGTAGTAGTTTGTACATTATTGCGTAGTAGCTGGGATAGGATTGTGTAGTAGTGGGTAAAGTGTCATGTAGAAGTGGGTACCGTACTGTGTAGAAGTGGTTTCAGTATTGGGTAGGAGTTTGTACATTATTGCGTAGTAGCTGGGATAGTATTGGTTATAATATTAGATAATAGTTGGGATAGTATTGGTTATAATATTGGATAATAGTTGGTATAGTATTGGTTATAATATTAGACAGCATTGTGTTGTAATGGGTACAGTATTGGTAGGACTAGTGAGTACAGTATTGCTAAGTAGTGTATAGATTATTGTGTGGTAGTGCGTACAGTATTGTGTAGTAGAGGGGACAGTATCATGTAGTAGGGGGTACCGTACTGTGTAGAAATGGTTTCAGTAGTGGGTAGTAGTTTGTACATTATTGTGTAGTAGCTGGTATAGTATTGTGTAGTAGGGAGTACAGTATTGTTTAGTAGTGGGTACAGTATTGTGTAGTAGTGGGTACAGTATTGGTAGTACTAGTGAGTACAGTATTGTGTAGTAATGGGTACAGTATTGGTAGTACTAGTGAGTACAGTATTGTATTGTAGTCTGTATAGAATTGATTAAAATATTGTTTAGTAGTGGATAAAGTAAATTTTGGGTTGTAGTCGGTATGTTATTTGGTATAGTATTGTGTATATTTGTGGTTTTAGCATTGCGTAATACAGTATTGGTAGTATAAGTTACAATATTGTGTAAAAGTAGGTATTGAATTGGTTTAACTTTTGTGTAGTTAGTGGGTATGAAATTGGTCACAATATTGGGTAGTATTTATTATGATATTGGTTAAAATATTTGGTAACATTTGGTATAGTATTGGTTATAATGTTGGATAATAGTTGGTATAGTATTGGTTATAATATTAGATAATAGTTGGTATAGTAATGGTTATAATATTGAATAATAGTTGATATAGTATTGGTTATAATATTTGGTGGTAGTGGGTATAGTATTGGTTATAATATTTGGTGGTAATGGGTATAGTATTGGTTATAGAATTAGATAATAGTTGGTATATTATTGGTTACAATATTAGATAATAGTTGGTATAGTATTGGTTATAATATTAGATAATATTTGGTATAGTATTGGTTACAATATTAGATAATAGTTGGTATAGTATTGGTTACAATATACGATAATAGTGGGTATAGTATTGGTTATAATATTTGATAATAGTTGGTATAGTATTGGTATAATATTAGATAATATTTGATATAGTATTGGTTATAATATTTGGTGGTAGTGGTTATAGTATTGGTTATAATATTTGGTGGTAATGGGTATAGTATTGGTTATAATATTAGTTAGTAATAACGGGAAGTAATAGATACAGTACTAGGTAATATTTACGCTTGTCAGTCCACCTTTCATCTTAAAACATTTAATCGTATCACACATTAATGCTTCAAAGCTGATTCGGTTTGAAACGAAATTAATAGGTCATTCCATATACCAATGATTGTAAAGAAAAGCGTTTTTAAATCTATTACTGAAAAATCTTTCTTGTTTTTGTCCATTCCAGTAAAAGACGCTTCTCAGCTGTCACAGCCCAGCCAGACGAGACGGCCAAGCACTGTCACTGTAAGTTTATCACAAATTGCCGCTAGGTCATACTGAGCTTATGTTCTCTTTCATTTAGCTGTTGAGATATATATAAATTGTTGATGAAGATTTTATGATGTCGGGCGCGAAGATCCCACTGAGATTCTTGTGTTAAAGAAATGAGCACGTTTTGTATATATGGATATTTCCACCTTCTGAGCACCGCAACATTATATATCTACGCCAAATTATCCATTTTGACAGGGGTTGTTATGTTAACACCTTGAAGACCCCACATCTCCTTGAACCTCAATATTCATTAATGTCAAATTGTACTGGCATTAAGTTGGGTTCGAATGTTTTGATAATCGTTTCCCCCCTCCGGCTATTCCCTCAGGTCCTGCATTTATTAAAGGTAAAATATTGCCTTGGTATTGTGCCATGATGTGTCGATTATGGTCAAATTCAAACATACATTTGGTTGGTACAGCGTTTTAATGGATAAACTAACCAAATAAACCAACTTCGCTGACGGGCACCTCTGCAAGCCTCAAGCCTCATACCACCTCACAACTGGGTCATTATTTCTGGCTTGCTAAAGGTAGCTCAGTGAAATTTTAGTGGTATATGTAGCTCAGTGAAATTTTAGTGGTATATGTAGGATAACAAGGCGACGTATCATGCACCATTATTTGGTCCCTACGTCCAAGGTCAAGGTCGCGTCGACTATATATGCCATTATCGGGTCTGTACGTTCAAGGTCAAAGTCTCATTTAGTTCAAAGGTCAGATTATTTGTTGAAGTCTTACTTGTATATCTCGAAAGGTAAGTAGTAGATGTAGAATGGACAAATGGTGTATTACATACCACTTTGGAGTTCGTTCGCTTTACACAGTTAAGTTAATCCAGAGATACAATGATGCTAGGCATAAAATTTGCATATCAAGATACGTAACGCATAACCTTTATTCCAGGTACAGTGACCTTTTTGGGGAGCATAATCCATCAGATCTTCTATTTTTTCTTGGCTGTTATATGTCACGTATCCAACTATTGTCTGATGCATTTTTGACAGTTGTCAAAAGATCTCATCATTTTCCTTCCTTCTTCACACTTTATTCATCATCTCTTTCCTCACTTCTGTTGCTGCTGCTACTGAAGTGGGGAAAATTGAGGTGGCAATGATGCGGCAGCCGCTAGACAGTTACAGCAGCAGGTACTAACCACTTTAAACAAGTTGATTCCTGAAGTCGTTTGATATCGTTTGCAGTGAAATACGTTCATACCTAGTAGAAATAAGACTGAAATAAGCACTCGGCAGATATCGGCAAAGTCAAAAAGAAAATTGCGAGTGTTGCATACTTACTGTGCATGCCGCTAAGGTATGCAGGGTGTATAAATCGAGAAAGCTACATGTAGAACGAAGCAAAAGAATCTGTAAAGGTTACCTTCAAACTTACCGGAATTATATTGGATATGATGACGTCCAAATGTTTTCAAAACAATTATTTTTGTTGTTTATAAACATCATCGACGTGAGAATGCGGTTCTAAGCTACATTACAACTTTTTATCGAAGTTTAAAATCTTTTTGAAAGTTATTTTATAATATTCATAATATATTATTCACGGTGTAGGGTATTTTATATGAGCACAAAAACCAGATTGAATGATGCAGTTTAGTAATCAAGTTAAAAGACAAATGTAAACTGTTGTCACTGGTGAAACTGTTGTAAATCTTGTTATTATCTAAAATGAGACATTTAGAGACATTTTTTTCACAACGTCTATTTTCAATAGTATGAGTTTATGATTTTATTATTTGTAATACACAAGGCTGTGCGTGTGCAGGAAATCCTGTGATGTAACGTGGTATAAAGTGAATAAAGGGTTTGTCGGAATCCGGAACTGGTGCACCGTTCGGTTCCGTTACTTGTTTAGTACACCCTTAGTGATGACGTTGCAGTTTATGCATAGAGCACATGATGCGTTAACAAGCCAGAGCAATGGCGGTTGATTATTTTCCCTCCTACCTTTTCCAGCATCTTCGCTAACCAAGGGTTACGATCCGGTACGATCTACATACTCTTCACACTAGGAGTAGGAAGACCAAATTATAACCCTTGGTTAGCGAAGATGCCCTCCCAGTAGCATTATTAGTCCCTACCGGAGAAACCGGGGGGACTACAGGTTTCCACCCATAGGTCGGTGGAATAGGTCCGTTTCAGGGTGATCTGGGGAAAAAATACTATGTTATCAAACTCTTATGATTTCAACTCATCAATGTCTCTAGTATGATAGAAAAAATCACACCATTTTGCGCCAAAAATGAAGAACGAGAATATATCGGTTAGATGAAAGAAAATTCAGATTTTTGATATTTTCATTCATATAACAGTGCTGCAAATATGTTTATTTATTACACATTACTCTATATTCTACTTTGACAAAATTAATTCGCTCTGGTATTGACATCATTTTTCGAAATCCAAGATGGCTGACCATATCCAGATAAAAAAAAACATGGTACGAGCCCACTTCGGCCTTGCACAGGTATATTATGATAATATAATATATTGTAATAATATAATACATGATAATAATAAACTAACACTAATATTGCATTATAATGTGTTATCTGATAGTGTGAAAACAATAGTTGGGTACACACAGAGGATACAGTTATTAGCAGCAAGCATGCAATCTCCATGAACAGGATGGTTAAATAATACTTCTCCAGAGTTGCTCTTAAGCCCTGTATGCACTTTTCAAAACGCATTTAATTTAACTGAAGATGTATATTGTGTATTAAAAGCACATATAAACCTGTTGTAATTATTATGTAACATTGCAGATAGTGTGCAGTATAACCATAATCTGGATTTATGGAAAAAAGTGGAATTTCATTGAGAAGCAGCGGTTTTGCAGCGAGAATTGTCCAGGTTTTTTGTTTTTTTGTTATTAATGATTAAATATTACATGTACTACTTTTGTTGACAATATTTGTAACAATATTATAAAACGTCACGATAAGCCCATGTTTGTAAAAGTATGCTTTGCTGTGTCAGGACTATGTACTCTGTACACAGGATTGGAACGGTTTCGCCAGGATTGTGATTTCCCTCATGTGCCTGGTGATCTGCATGATGGATGTTGTGTGATTTGCCGTGATGCTTTGGGGGATGACAAACAAAAGGTTCACAAGAAAGGACTTGTATATGACAAAGACGAGTTATATAAGAAACACTTTTTTAGCGAAACCGTTCCATTCCTGTGTACATAATACAGAGTCCTGACACAGCGAAACATACTTTTACAAAAATGGGCTTATCGTGACGTTTTATAATATTGTTACAAATATTGTCAACAAAAGTAGTACATGTAATATTTAATCAGTAATAACAAAACAAAACAAAAACCTGGTCAATTCTTGCTGCAAAACCGCTGCGTCTCAATGAAATTCCACTTTTTTCCATAAATCCGGATTGTAAACAAATTATGGTTATACTGCATACTATCTGAAATGTTACATAATAATTACAACAGGTTTATATGTGCTTTTAATACACAATATACATCTTCAGTTAAATTAAATTATGTATTGCCATGCGTTTTGAAAAGTGCATACAGGGCTTAGGAGCTACTCTGGAGAAAGTATTATTTAACCATCCTGTTCATGGAGATTGCATGCTTGCTGCTAATAACTGTATCCTCTATATTTACCCAACTTTTGTTTTCACACTATCAGATAACACGTTATATATGCAATATTAGTGTTAGTTTATTATTATCATATATTATATTATTACAATATATTATATTGTCATTATATACCTGTACCAGACCGAAGTAGGCTCGTACCATGTTTTTGTTTTTTGTTTTATCCGGATATGGTCAGCCATCTTGGATTTTGAATATGATGCCAATACCAGAGCGAATTAATTTTGTCAAAGTAGGATATAGAGTTATGTGTAATAAATAAACATATTTGCAGCACTGTTATATGAAATATCAAAAATCTGAATTTTCTTTCATCTAACCGATATATTCTTGTTCTTCATGTTTGGCGAAAAAGGGTGAAAAACAGGCCAATTTAAAAACTCTAAATTTTTTCTCCCGTAGGTAATCTTTCAGGACTTTTTCTTTCATACTACAGACATTGATGAATTGAAATCAGAAGAGTTTGATAACATAGTAATTTGTTCCCCAGGTTCGACCTATTCCACCCAGGTTCGACCCATCAGTCCGTCTGTGTACGTATGTACGTACGTAACACCAATGTTTGTCAGCCCTCTAGCGGCTTCATTCCTTTAGGGATTTTAATCACACTTTACACATATACAAAGGACCACAATATATCAGAGTTCGACTTTCAGGGTTGTCGGGTCAAGGTCAATGTTACTATTTATAGAAAATCCTTGTCAGCGCTATAGCGGCTTCATTCACTAAGGGATTTGGATCAAACTTCACACAATTACAAAGGCACATAATATCTCTAACCAGATTGAGTTTCAATGTTGTTGGGTCAAGGTCAAGGTCACCGTTACTATTTTTAGAAAATCGTTGTCGGCGTTCTAGCGGCTTCATTCCTTGAGGGATTTGGATCAAACTTCACACAATTACAAAAGAACATAATATCTCGGACAGTTTCGAGTTTCAGGGTTTTCTGGTCAATGTCAAGGTCAGGTTCACCTTTACTATTTTTAGAACATCCATGTCAGTGCTCTAGCGGCTTCATTCCTTGAGGGATTTGGATCAAACTTCACACAATTACAAAGGACCAACATATTTTTGACAAGTTCGAATTTCAGGGTTGTTGGGTCAAGGTCACTTACTATTTTAAGAAAAAAATCTTGTCAGCACTCTATCGGCTTTATTCCATCAGGGATTTTGATAACACTTCACACAATTACAAAGGAAAATAATATCTAGGACAAGTTCGAGTTTAAGGGTTGTCGGGTCAAGGTCAAGGTCACCGTTACTATTTTTTAGAAAATCCATTGTCAGCGCTCTAGTGGCTTCATTCCTTGAAGGATTTTG